AGGGCTAAAGACCTGGGGCTAGGGGTTGGTCTGGGCGGCGAAAAGGTATCAGCGCTGGCGTTCGCCGACGACCTGGTTGTGGCAGCGGAAACGGCTGCCGGACTACAGACACTCATAACCAGTATTTGCCGCACGCTGCGCGGCTCTGGTCTCAAAGTAAACGCCGCAAAATGCCGGACGCTGAGCATAGCGATTGATGCGCATCGAAAGACATGGCATGTCCCCACCAGGAAGGCATATTATGTCGGAGACGATGTAATCGGTACTATGAGTGTGGCGGACGAGTACAAGTACTTAGGGATACTGATCGGAGCCGGGGGCAGACGCTTATCCTATGGCTCCCTGTTTGAGGACGGCCTGACCAACATCACCAAGGCGCCGCTCAAACCCCAACAGAGGTTATACCTACTAAAGCACCACCTAATCCCCAAAATGAACCACCGCCTTGTCCTCGGACACGTGGCTAAAACGGAGTTGGCGAGGTTGGACCGGCGGCTGCGACACGCCACTCGTGGCTGGCTGCGGCTGCCCCATGACACCCCCAACGCCTTTATCCACGCCGACGTCAAGGACGGTGGACTAGGGATACCCGACTTTGCCACATCGATCCGGCTACAAAAGAACAAGCGGCTCGGGGCGCTGACCGGATCAGCGGACCCAGTGGTGGTGGCAGCGGCTCTCCTACCCGCATTCCAAGCGAGAATGCGCCGGTGGGTAGACCCGACCACGGCCGCTGGAACGCCATCCAGCAGGACGACCGAGTGCGCTAGAAGATGGAAGGCAAAACTGTACAGCATGGTCGACGGCGCCGGCCTCGCTTCCTCTTGTGAGGTCCCATCCTGTCACAAGTGGGTTGCGTCCGGTACCCGTTTGCTAAGCGGGGGAGATTTTGCCCACGCCGTCCAAATTAGGGCAAACGCTGTAGCCACGCCGTCTAGGGCGGCTAGGGGTAGACCCGAGGCTTCCGGTCTCTGTGACGCCTGTCGGAAACCAGGAACCCTGGGCCACATATCCCAGGCCTGCCATAAGACACACGGGGCTCGGGTGAAACGTCACGACGACATTACCCGGTTCGTAGCTGGCCGATTGCGGCAAAGAGGCTTTGAGGTGGAGCGTGAGGTCCGTATACCAGACGGAGGGACCTTCTGCAAGCCAGATATTATAGCTTGCAAAGGTGATGAGGCCTTCATATTAGACACCCAGGTCTCAGCTGATAACTTCCCACTCCCCCGTCCACATCAGAGCAAGTGCGACAAATACGGCACCCCCGAGATCCTGCAGAAGGTCCGGGAGTATACCGGTAAGCCTACAGTATCCGCCTCCTCAATAACCCTTAATTGGAGAGGCGGATGGTGCAAGGAGAGTGCGCGTGGTCTACAAGGTATGGGTCTCACCAAGAGCGATCTCGAGATTTGCTCCGTGAAGGCCCTGACCTGGACATATTCTATATACAGAATATGGTCCAAGGCCACGTCAAGGGGCAGGCCCCCCTAGCCCCGGGGTCACTGTGCACAGGGTGCATAAGGGTAACTATAGTCACGCTTAGGTGAACCGCAGCCAAGTCAGCTGGTAGCCAACTATCTAAGCAGTTTCGTCATCTGGAGTACCACTTCTCCTAATGGCGTCTCACAAGAGGGTGGATGACCTGGCAGAGCCCGCGAGTAGATAAGGTGGCGTCCGGAGGGACCCCATGCGCATACATGATAACCCTCCCGCTCCGGGGCCCAGTTAGGAGCATCCACTGTGTCTAGTTTTCCATGTATGCCGACGTCAAATCATCATCCCTGCCGATTGGGCAGCCTGCTGCTTTGGCCTTCAGCGTTTGTTTGTTCTTTTTTTACATGTTATACTGTGCACCCCTACCTATGTGTGCTGTGTCCCATATAGAAAAAACCAAATACAAAAGAATTTTCCATTAATGTTTTTGTTTATTTTCAGGTTATTATTATGTATTATTAGTATCATCTTAACTCTTGTGGGTGTGATGAGATCTGCCATATATGTTTATTTTAGTTTGTGTGTGTTAGGGTATTAGGTATGCTTAGGGGTCCGTCTCGCCATGCCCTGTGGCTGGGGGGATCGGGCTCCGAAGCTACATAAAAACCCTATACCCCCCCGAAGTGGCAAGGGGAGTTAGGGGACAAAATAATGCCCAATGTCATTTGAGTATCATAGTAATACTCTAGAATAAATACCAATAAACCATAAATAACTTTTTAACCAGATACGTTTGTTAAAAAGGAGAATAAAATCAATGTTTAAATCAAACTAGGCGCCATACATCCACATCAGGGACGCCATCTGGATGGGCATGGGGTGGACCGAGTCAGTAAACTCTCCCTCACCACAACGAAGGCACACAGCAGTCTTACAAGCTGAGTTTCAGCTGTTTTATATAACCATGGACCTTTGTATGGTGACTTAGACTAAATATAGAACTATATGAATTACACACTGTTTAAGAACGATAGGTGTGTGAAATATAAAGAATAATAGTGAAACAGAAGTGAGCCATACCGGACGCAAAAGGGACAGAGTCAACAGACGCCATTACACCACTTCAACAACAGATGTGAACCCCACTACAAAGCACATGCCCATCAAGAGGGCTAAGCCTTGATCAAATAGAATGAGAGATCCGTACCTGTATATTACAATATACAAATAAGGGAGGTTGGTAGTGTTATTAAGGATTTGAATAAAAAAAAATTGTGCCACTGACCCCATTATATTACAACTGTGGTTACTACCATGGCCTTACCATCATACGATTATAAGGCCATCATGGCCAATAATCGGCTGATATTACTTACCAGCCGATTAAATAAGTAGGTTAATAAATAAGTGAAATATATTACATTTTTCAAGATAATTATAGTATACATTTTGCAATAGATAAATTTGAATTAATAAAGAATTAAATAACCAATCTTTTCATTGTTTATAATATAATTCATATGTGATAAGATACCAGAATTAAAAGGTTAGACTAAAATAACAATATAACAATATCAGTCCATATTGTGTTATAATTCAATTAATTTTACCATTGGGTAATAAAATATAATTCAGTCAACAGATAAATTAAGGCAGCACTACTTAATGTTGAGACTCCTTCCCCGTCTAGTCTCTCAAGGAACACTGAGTCAACTAAGGAACCAAAGACACCGTCCACACCATGGCACAAAGAATAATATCAACAGTCTTCCCAGGAGTCACTGCATATTTCTACTATAACAACAGACAGCTCAGTTTGCTGTTATCATTATTTTCTGTTGAATAGTAGTTAATTCATATAATTAAAAAAACAATTATTTAAGTAAAATAAAATCCACAATTAGTCCGAAAAATATTTTCTCATCTGTGATTCAATTATTGGTATTATAAAGTGCAACATATTTAAATTAAGTAGATCAAAGGGAATTATTGCAAGGTATATGTTGAACATTTTCAAGAAAATGACCGAGCCATGAATGACTCTCCGGGGAAATTGAGATCAACTGCCGGAAGAAATTCTTTTTAAGGGGGCATATCAGTATAAATTAAAAGTTGTTCAATTTGCTTATAAATTTTTTTATGAAATGGTTATAGAAAGGGCTGCAACTGGTCCAAGTTTCACCATCACACCCTAAACAGAAAAGGAGAAAAAAAATACACAACGTATTATGCAACGAATGTTCAACATTCTCAAATAATCTCAGGGAACACATGTGTCAACTAAAATGTCTACTATGTGCTGTAGAAGCACAAACTCTTGTAATAATTGTAATATGTATGTGCAATATATTTATATGTAATTTTTTTTTTTCTTTTTTTTGGCCAATTTTTTTTTCTCGTTTGTTATCAAGGGATTTGCATGAAACTTGCACACCTTGCTCAATGGATGCCTATCTGCAAGGGTGCCAATTATGAACGAAATCTGTCGAAGTCAAGCTCAGCTACAGGTGGCCGAACTTGGATCTTTATTTTACACTGGAAAGTAATTTACACCTTCAAAGTACTTCAGAGCTTTCATTTATTAATCAATTTACATGCAAATTACACCTTATATGCAGAGTTTGTGCTTCTACAAATCTATTGAGACATTTTAGTCCAAAGTCCATTTGTTGATTTTATAACAATTTATAAACATTATATATTGCATATTTTTGGAAGGGTAACTTTGAATAATTATATTATTGCACTAAACACTTTTTTGATAAAACTGATCACTACAATTCTTTATTATGTGCTACATTTAATATCTGAGTGTTATAGAAATGATTTTAGTTGACACATGTGTTCCCTGAAACTATTTGAAAATGTTGAAAATTCGTTGCATAATACGTTGTGTATTTTTTTCTCCTTTTCTGTTTAGGGTGTGATGCTGAAACTTGGACCAGTTGCAGCCCTTTCTATAACCATTTCATAAATAAATTTATAAACAAATTGAACAATTTTTACTCAACCCGTAATAAGCCACCTTAAACTAATTTCAATATTATGTTGTGGGAAACTTGACGATTCTGTGTCAAAATGACATTTTGTGAGAGATGAAGAAGGCATCTCGTGGGTATGGGTGGCAGGTTTAGTTATTTCAGTATTAGGGGTATTTCTTCATCGTCAACAAACAACATTGTATTTGTGTTCCTTCAGCAGACGCCATCAGGACATTTCTACACCTCATGTACGCACTTGAATTAATGTGTCTACCTTTAGCAAAATTTAACATGGCATTCCAGTCATTAGTAAACATAATATATTTTGTCTACAGACACATTACAAAATAATTATTGTAATTGTTCTAATTACTTTGCTGTTAATTTGAAATGCATATTCACAGTCACATTTGCTTAATGTGTTGCACTTAGGAATCCACGCTACAATCCATTTGAGTATCATGGTAATACTCTAGAATAAATACCAATAAACCATAAATAACTCTTTAACCAGATTTGTCTATTAAAAAGGAGAATAAAATCAATGTTTAAATCAAACTGGTGAATGTATAATATACTGACTTTTAAAATGGCTTGATCTTTTCCATAAAGGGAGGTGCCTACAGCATCCCGGAGCATGAGGTCCCTGATGGTAATGAGTTCACTGGTGTTGATGATGTCTTGGTCCCAGCGAGCTGCCCAAGTTCCACCCAAGATAGGCACATTATGATGTGGGTGATCCCGCATCACGTGGAAAGGCTTCCCTGACGCCAGCCAGGCGTCCACCGCCGCCTGCTCTCGCTCACTCACCTGTAGAAACCACCTAACGTTACATACAAAAGAACATGGAATATAAAATTTGTCAGAAGGCCTCTTGATACATGTGAATTTGTTAGAGGTGAAAAACCACATCTAACTGAGGGCTTGTGTGGCTGCAGATGGTGTTAACACTCATTAAGGAATTACGATATCAGTATGAAATAATTTTAAGTAAGTAAATTGTTACTAAAACTACATATTAAGCAAAAGATCATACTAATATTGTGGACCGAAAATTTTGAATGGTTTATCATCATTATGAACATGCGTATGAGAGTTGTTTAAAATGTGTCGAATGTGCTTCCCGCTCATATAATGTCATCGGTCTGTGCAGATGCCCTTGTATAACCTCAATCAAACAGAGGAGTCTCTCTGGTTTTGAAAATTATATTATAAAATATGAGAAAATCAGTAGGAGCCATGAGGAGGATTAGGACTAATGCTCTGGGTACTCACTGGCAAACATCTTAGACCAATATACTAAAGTATGCTAATACCAATGGTACCTGGTATTCAACTGAAGCCTCTAGTGTTTGTGAGGCTTACTCTTAAGTCTAACCAGGGTTTCACACATTGAACCCATGCACTCTGATTTGTTGTCTAGGAATTCTACCTCCTACCTTCTCCTCTGGGTACTCCCAAGGCGTTTGCTTTGGATTACCCAAAGCACAGGAATGAATCTTCCTCATGGTTCATACTGATTTTCTCATTGATACGTCACATTAATGTGATTTCTTTGTGCATTTCAAGAGATTCCTTTCCACCCGTCCCATCCCAAATCCTTATCCTGACCCCTTCCAAATGCCATATAGTCGTAATGGCATGGAGCTTTCTCTTGATAGTTCCCTTCCCTTCAAGAGAAATGTAGGAGGAAGAATTCCTAAACTACAGACCAGAGTATAAGAGGACAATGTGTGGCACCCTGGCTAAGACTCACGAACCCCAGAAGATTCATTTGAATCCCAGGTTGCAAGGCTTTTGATCGTGTCGTGGTGTAGCGGTCTAAGATGCATGCTTGAAAGTACCCACAGCATAGGTGCGAGTAGTGGAGACTAGGCCTTTGGTGCAACGTTTTGTGTTTTTTGAAGTTGTTCAATAGGATTGGTCATTTTTCGTTACCTCAGCATGGTTTCACTTCCGTCCTGGTCATTTTCCGTTACCTTGGCGACGGGCCCCTTCCGTCCGGGTAAATTTTCGCTTTCTCGGTGAGTGATTGCTAAGCCTATGGCACAACGTTTTGCATTTTTAGGAGTTGCACCATAGGCCTGGTGATTTTTCTTTACCTCCGCGAGGTTTTGCTTCCGTCCTGACCATTTTTCGTTTCCTCAGTGAGTTATTGCTCATAACCTATGATATTTTTCGTTGCCTCAGAGTCTGATTGCTCTACATCCGGGTCTTTCTTCGTTGCCTCAGAGTCTGATTGCTCTATGTCCGGCCCATTTTTTGTTCCCTCGCTAACCTGCACAGGTGCATTAACCGCTAATTTTCCAAAGACAGCATCAGCCAGCCATCTTTTCATCTTTCACTCAGCAAGTTTCGTTTTCTGTGATAGCATATCTAATCACATTTTTCATATATATCCCCCATATTCAATATTGTACCATAGGGATTAAAGGCCTGCCTGCTGTCAACCCGAATGTCCAATGACGTCATCATTCAGCAATCCCCAATATTCACAAAAAAAGTTATTTTCTGTGAAGACGTATTTAATCTCATTTTCATTTTTGCCCATTTTCAATGATTAATTCTGGGTAAAAGATCACATATCTATATAAATAAAAATGGAAATGTTTGTTTGTTCAATATCGCTAATCTCAGAAAGTTCTTCACGGATTGCTTTGAAATTTTCACACAGCGTTCCATTCGCATCCGAGCGGGTTTTTATGTACATACTATATCGATATCACGTCTGTGATGGAAAAATTGTGCTTTTTGTGAAAAACTGTCTTTTTCATGTGTTTTTCATATGAGTGAAATCTTCGAAACCTCTTTACCGATTGCTTTGAAATTTTGACACAACGTTGCATTGGAATAGGCGAGTGTTTTTATATACCTAATATATACATGCCTCACCTGTGACAGTAAAAAAAACATGCTTTTTTGAAAAACAGCGCCATCTGTAGGACGTAGGAGCAGCACACGCTTTAATCTCCGAATGTTCTTCACCGATTGTTTTGAAATTTTGACACAACGTTCCATTCGAATACGTGGGTGTTTTTATATACCTGATATTTAGATGCCACACCTGTGACAGGTAAAAACATATTTTTTTTTAAACATCGCCATCTGTTGCACGTAAGACCAACACAAGCAATACAAAATATGTTACGATTCCATTTCAATGTTCCCGTTTGCATTGATATATTGAATTTTCATAGATTTATATATTTTTTTATTTTGATTTGATTATTTTGTGTGACAATGCGTTGGAATTGAGCTGTGATGTTTACCATACCGTTCATTTCGTGGATATAGTTTATGTGTTTCTTTTTTCATTGTTTTTCATTTCGTTTTTTCAACTGTTCTTAATTTTTTTCAGTGCAATTGGTGGCGAAATTGAGCTGTGTCGATTTATCCACGTTTGAATTGAAATATTTTGTTTGTATTTTTTGTTTTTGTTTTGAAAAAATGAAAATGGACAACACATTTATTTCACAGCTGCAAATGTGCAACAAACAGCTATGAATCCACCGACTACAGTGTTAACTGCTTTCTTCACGTTATGTCAAAATGACATGTTTGCAAAAACAATGTTGTATTCGGAAGTGCCTACGTATTACACGTGGAATGCCAGTAGAAAATCATTTGAACGACGCAAACGAGAAGAGCGAGTCGACTGACAACTTGGCATATTCAAATAAACCACGATAGGCAGACTGTACACCGTACATCCTAATCAGGATGAATGCTTCTTTCTTCACATGCTGTTGGTAAATGTGCCCAGTCAAACGTCTTTCCGCCAAATGAGATTTGTCAACGGCGTAACACATGTCACTTCCCGTAGTGCATGTCAAGCTCTGAATTTATTGGAGAATGACCGGCACTGAGATGTAGGCATTAATGACGTGTCCAACACGTCACATCCAAATCAAATTCGTACATTGTTTGCAATCATATTGACCACCGGATCTCCGTTATCTCACACAGAGTTATGGGAGAAATATAAATCGTACATAGCTGAAGATATTATCCGTCGAACACGCAAAGAAAATTCAAATATGAATATGGATTTTAGAGTAAAAATCTAAAAAGAAGCGTTGATAATGATTGATGACTTGTGCTTAGAAATCGCGAACAAAGTTCTTAATCAATTGGAAATGCCATCGCCGAACCGATCTGCTGCTGCTTTGTTCGATGTAGAATTACGTCGTGAACAAAATTACAACACGGGTGATCTGTTGTCGTATCAAATATCAAATATCAAATGAATATCCCTAGGCTAACCCTTGAGTGAAAAAGCACTCAGTCAAATAATTCTAACTGTCAATAACGGCCTTGGAGAAATCTTCTTAGATGCGCCAGGAGAAAATGGTAAAACGTTCCTAATTAGATTGATTCTGGCAGCATTTCGATCCCAAAGTGGCATATCCTTAGCTCTTGCAACGTCCGGAATTGCTGCGATACTGCAACCAGGTGGAAAAACTGCTACTTCGGCTTTGAAATCGCCTTTGAACATACAATTCAGTGAAACTCCCAAGTGCAACATTTCCAAGGCATTCGGCAAGGGGAAAAGTATTGCTGAACTGCAAACTTATTGTATCGGGTGAATGCATAATGCCTGACAAAAAATCACTCGAGGCTCTTGATCGATCATTGCAAGACTTGCGTGGAAACATCAGACCATTTGGGAACGCATTAATATTGCTTGCAGGTGATTTCAGGCAAACATTACCTGTAATTCCTCGATCGACACCAGCGGACGAAATAAATGCTTGCCTGAAATAATCTACTTTGTGGCGCCATGTAAAGACATTTAAATTAACTAAAAATATGCGTGTAGTTATGTAGCTACTGCAAAACGATCCATCAGCTGAGATATTCTCACATC